CCAGGAGTTCCAGGTTGTCTGGAACACACGGGCGTGGTAACCCAGCTCATTAGGGAAGCGAGAGAAGGTAGAGGGGACCTGGCAGTACTGTGGCTGGACCTCACCAACGCCTATGGCTCAATACCCCACATGCTGGTGAAGGTCGCACTGGAGAAACACCATGTACCGCAGAAGGTGAAAGATCTCATTCTGGACTATTACAGCAAGTTCAGCTTGAGAGTCACTACTGGCCAGCTAACATCTGACTGGCACCAGCTGGAGGTGGGGATAATCACTGGCTGTACCATCTCAGTGACCCTATTTGCGCTGGCGATGAATATGCTGGTCAAGGCAGCTGAAACAGAGTGCAGAGGTCCCCTCAGTAAGTCCGGAGTAAGGCAACCGCCCATAAGAGCCTTCATGGACGACCTCACAGTGACAGCAACGGCGGTACCAGGAGCCAGGTGGATTCTTCAGGGGCTCATGACATGGATGACATGGGCACGCATGAGCTTCAAACCTGCAAAGTCCAGGTCCTTGGTTCTAAAGAAGACAGACAGATCAGACAGATTCCGCTTCAGGCTGGGAGAATACCAGATCCCGTCAGTCACTGAGAGTCCGGTGAAGAGCCTTGGGAAGGTCTTCAACTGTAGACTGAGTGACAGAGACTCCATCAAGGCAGCCGGTGCTGACCTGGAGGGATGGTTGAGAACAGTTGATAAGTCTGGGCTCCCTGGAAGATTCAAGGCCTGGGTCTACCAGCATGGAATCCTCCCAAGAATCCTCTGGCCTCTGCTTATCTATGAGGTCCCCATGACTGTGGTAGAAGGTTTTGAGCAAAAGGTGAGCAGCTATCTACGTAGATGGCTGGGTCTACCGCGTAGCCTAAGTAACATCGGGCTATATGGGAAAACCAACAAGCTCAGGCTCCCTTTTAGCTCAGTCAGGGAGGAGTTAATCGTTGCACGGGCACAGGAACATCTGCAGTACTCTGGATCCAGAGATGCCAAAGTGTCCGGAGCAGGGATTGTTGTGAGGACAGGAAGGAAGTGGAGGGCAGCCGAGGCAGTCCAGCAAGCAGAGACTCGGCTGAAGCACAAGGCCATCCTTGGAACAGTGGCGCAAGGCAGAGCCGGACTTGGGAGCCTAAGAGCGACCCGATATGACTCTGCCGGCGGAAAGGAGAGGCAGAGGCTGGTACAGGAGGAGGTGCGAGCTTCAGTCGAGGAAGAGCGAACCAGCAGAGCAGTGGCACCTGGATGAAGTGGGAGCAGGCGATGGAGCACTCCCTGAGCAAGGCCTACGGTACGTTGGGCATAACAGGTGTTAACCGAAGAAAAGCCATAGGCATAGGAAGCAGCAGAAAAAGCTTCCAGATGGCTCTGGTTGAAGACGGGAGAGCAGTGGGGGCAGTGGAATGCCACTTGGACACAGGCCGGGGTCTGATCAGCCTCGGTCGGGTCGCCAGGACGAGGGTGTCTGTTGTAAGACCCGAAACACCCAGTGACGCCTGGAAACAACACTGATGATGTGTCCAAGGTCGTGCATCAGAAGATGTTTTCTGTGAACTGAAATTAATAAGACAGAAATAACAGTACAACACCAAACCATCACATCTTTAAAAAATTATGGTGAAAGGTGTTTGATAAATTAATAAACATGAATTAATTTCACAGAGAGAGGCAGCTCTGCCTTTGTGAAAATTAATTTAGCAATGTGAATTTCTTTTTTTATTGATACGACTGAAATTACAAGTAATGGTAACACTTTATTTTGTTGGTCCCTTTTGAACATTCTGTTGACAATAAATAATGTTGCACCTACATGTCTACTAACTCACATTAGAGTATTAGAAGACTTTCTGCTTAATATCTGCAAACTCTTTATTGTAATGGTCTCCCTACAGACATTCTACTGACTATAAGTAACTTTGCAAGTACATGTCAACTTATTCTAACCCTAACCCTACCAGTCTACTAATACTCTACTAACAGTCTAATGAGAGTTATTAGGCATGTAGGTGCAACATTACTTATAGTCAACAGAATGTGTTAAAGGGACCATCAAAATAAAGTGAAACCACAATATTGTTTGTTGACAGACCAACAGTAGAAAGTTTCACAGCCTTAACATTGTAAAAAAGTAATCTTTCATGGCTGAGGTTAGTTCATGTAATAAGGACCTTCTTTGTACTATATACAACAAACCTGGTTAAATACCATACCGAAATCTAATTTTGCTGTAAAACAACAAAAATTAATAAATTAAATTGATATATGTATGTCTTATACTTGTCCTACTTTTACATGCTTCCATAGTATATTGGAAGAACTGCATTGAAAAAACCTTAAGTCCCATATAGTGCCAAGTGACAAGATCATAACTTAGATGTGCTCTGTTTGACAGAAACCTGGCTAAAAACCAGATGATTACATTATTTTAAATGTGTCTACCCCCCAAGATTACTGTTATAAACATGAGCAGCGTCCAAAAGGTAAAGGCCGAGGCGTTGCTACAATTTATAGTAGTATTTTCAGTATTTCTCAGAGCTCTGGTTTCAAGTATAATTCGTTTGAAGAAATGGTGATTCAAATAACATTACCTAGAAAAAAAGTGTTAATGATAAATCCCCTTTGACATTTGTACTGGCTACTGTATACAGGCCACCAGGGCACCATACAGACTTTATCAAAGAATTTGCTGATTTTTTATTTGAGCTAGTGCTGGCTTCAGATATAGTCTTAATTGTTGTTGATTTTAATATCCATGTTAATAATGAAAAAGATGCATTGGGATCAGCATTTATAGACTCTGAGTTATAGACTCTTCTGAATTCCACTGGGGTTAGACAACATGTGTCAGGACCTACTCATTGTCGTAATCATACTTTAGATTTAATACTGTCACATGGAATTTATGTTAATGACATTGAAATTCTGCAGCAGAGTGAGGATATCTCAGATCATTATCTAGTCTTGTGTATACTCCATATAGCTAAAGCTGCAAATTCAGCTCCCTGTTACAAATATAGTAGAACCATCACTTCTACCACGAAAGACTGCTTTGTAAATAATCTTCATGATTTGTCAATTTCTCAGCATATCCAGTAGCTCAGAAAAACTTGATAGTGTAACAGAAACTATTGACTCTCTCTCTTTTCTAGCACTTAAGATACGGTTGCTCCTTTACGCTTAAAGAAGTTTAAGGAAAACAGTTTGACACCGTGGTATAACGAGCACACTCGCGCCTTAAAGAGAGCAGCCCAGAGAATGGAGCGCAGCTGAAAACAAACAAAACTAGAGGTATTTTGTATTGCATGGCGGGAAAGTACTTCTACTTATAGAAAAGTTCTAAAAACTGCTAGATCTGCTTACTTTTCGTCTCTCTTAGAAGAAAACAAACACAACCCTAGACATTTATTCAATACAGTGGCTAAATTAAC